ACCCGCGTCTCTCCGGTCAGAGGCAAACGCTCTAACCATTGAGCCACGAGTCTGCTGTCTTGTCTGTTTTAGATCTTGATGATGCGATCAAGCCAGTTTAGAAGTTCAAAATGCCGTAGATTTCGTGACGAGAAGACCAAAAAATAGCAACAATGGAACGGGTGTTAGTAATACCACAAGTGAACTAAAGACGACGTTTGTAAAATGCAAGTTACCTCAGAAGCCAGTGTAGAGATAACAACCAGGACGAATGCGACGGCCTGCAGTTTTGACGGTAACAGCAGTCTGGACAATGAAAAAGAGCGAAGCTCCGCTATTGTTGGATAAGAGTAACCATGGAAAGGTTGGTCATGCTGAGTTTCGTCTGGTCTGTACTGAGCTGCAGTCATGAATCGATGAATGAAGAAACAACTGTATGGAGGGAGAAAAAAAAAGTATATTGTGAAAAAATCCAAATTGGTAGTCAACCTTTTTTCAAAACCACAATTAAAAGGATGTACGGCCCATTTAATGGACTTTTGACAAGAAAGTAGTACGAATGTGAAAAAAACTTCACAAATTGCATCTCTTAGATACGTTAGGGGGGCACTGACGTCGTCACATACCAGGCTAAGACTCAGTATCGAGTTCGCAAATATAATTTTGGGGAAGTAGATATCGTTTCCACCGTGTGTGGCATAGCACCGTCGGTGTGGGGAGTGACTTGAGCGTGATCTCGTTTATAGCGATAGTAAACTTACGTAGCATCCACCACACTCTCCCTCTGCCACCTAGGCCCGGTGTCATTACTAAGTCAAGGTGCGCATCCCGAATAACGTCTGCCATACCCTGATCTAAGCCCCGTATTGGCCCAGCGCATCTACCGCGTGACCTGGTGTACGGGCATACTTGTAAAGTAAGCTACTCATGACATGACGGTTGTCTGCCATTTATGATATTACTGGCTTCAATGCCTGCTTGGAGGTCGTAGAGTTTTTAAACGACCAGGAAGTGGGATATGAATTCCACAGGATGGGATAACTAAACGCGTGCAACTCTACAGGAGGAGTTCAATTCTGCTTTCTGATCTATGGGTGTTCAAGCATTTACACTGGACCACGAGATCGTACAAGTTGAAAGATCACATTTCGGGTGTCGTGAATAAAAACTCGCAATAAACGATAGACCATCGCGTTTATATCTTGTGATGTGGCGTTACATTTCACGAGTAGCACGAGCTCCCAAGTCTATAGTATTTCTAACTGAATTACAAAGTTAACTTGGAAGCTTACGGTGTAAAAGTAGAAAGGTTTATTCATAGGGGTGACAATCTGATTTAGGGCTCATTACGCACAGTAAGCACGACTGCCTACTTAGTTCGTAATAGTAGGCATGTTTTTACTACTTTGACATCGGCTGTTTTTTTAACACAAAGTTACGACACAGTCTACCCACATATCATATTGACCTTCACGGAGATCTTTACTAGCTTAGTTAGTTCAGTTTAAGCTAAGTTTAGTTTTTGGTTTTGTTTTTGTTTAAATTAGTTTTAATTTACTTAGCCATTTTTATTTTAGTTTACCTTTGTTTAATTAGTTTAGTTTTTGCATAGTTTCATTAGCGACATGCGGTTGCTTTTCAGCTTAAAACACTTGGAAAAACCTTATCTTTCAGGGTTTTACTTTAATATGGAAAATTTCCAGTTACGCAATTTGCGGAGTTCTTGTTTCCTACTGATTGTATGTCTCATTCGAACTATCGCGCATTTTTTGATGTATGAATAATTGTTCTTATTATTTTCTACTTCTATGCGCTCTACTTTTTTGCTTACTTTTTCTTTCCCCTGTAATACCCACCGGTCCCGTATCACCAAATGCTTGGGTTTTCACTAGCTGCAGTGAGTCCGAAACCAAACTGTTACCTCAATAATTTACTGCAATGGCCACATCTGCATCGCGAAAATGCGTGAAAAAGTACCTACCAGAATCAAAGACTAAAGCAATAAGGAGTTAGATATAAGGCAAAACGTTTGGCGAATAATTACCTGTAGGCAACACGAGCGAGCATATTAATGCAGTTTGCTAAGATGAAACCGGAAGCCCCGAAGTGAGGCACTAAAAGCCAAGTGCTAGTGAGGAATATCACTGAAAACACGGTAAGACGACGATTGTGCACATTCAGTTGGTCCTGAAAGAAAGACATAGTAAAAGTTGCTCAATGATGCCAAGTTATGCGTACATATAATTGCAAAATGAGGTAAACCGTTCTATACCACTGTGACATTGAAGATCACGGAATTCCATTTTGCTAAGTAGGTCAACCGCTTAGAAGGACAGGCGCCGAAGTTATTAGAGCTAAGATCAACTTACTGTGTTCATAGCCGCGTTAAGGAAGGCCTCGGTAGGTCCATTCCAAGCGAGAAAGATGATGTAGAAGGAGAAGAGGCGAAGCAATTCAGTGGCCGTTGGTTGCGAAACCAGGGAACTGCCACCGTAGAGGAAGAGAAGAAGGCGTGAGTAGGCGTGGCTAAAGACGAAACCGATCCAGGCGAGGAGGCTGGTCAAGCGGAGACTGGTTCGCAGCATGCTAAGTGCTTGTAATAGGAGACCCTAATGCAGACAGACAGGATGAATAAGAAAGAGAACGAATTAACATGGGAATACAACGCAGAACATGC